ATAATGGAGGCAGAATGTTATATGAAAAAAAAATTGTGCGTGGAGTCCCTCCGCGCGGAAGAAGTTAAACTTCGCAATCTGCGACGTTAATTGTAGAAGAATCAGCAGTCGTAGAAGGATCACTAGTTCTATTCAACGACTCTTTTTCCTGCTCCGCTCGCTTCCGTGCTCTGTAATCACGGTAATATTATGCATTTTTCNTAATTTGAGCAAAAAGAAAGATATATCTTATAATACGCAAAAAGAAAGACACATTTTGTAATCAATAAGCATGAAATAAAAAATAAATTGATTAGTTTGGAAAAGCATATTTTAATTTAATAAAAATGTTTAATCGTATCAAACCGTAAGTAAAAATACCACTGAGTTGATACGACGAATTTACCACTTAATTTTCAGGCTATTTACTGTTTTAATTTAAAAAAGGATTTATATACAATACGGAAACAAAAATTACAAAATTGTTTTTTGCTCATCACTCAAAATTTTTACATGACATTTATTTTTGACAATTTATATCACCCTTGCTGTTGTGATCCTTAGTTTAGTAACATACAGCATATAGAGTATTACACAAAATGTTTAATCGTTTTGCAAGTTCTTCAATACAATTCGCAAATTTCCAGTTGTAAGTCGAATTGAAATGCACAACAACCACAAATGAATATATTAAAGGGATAATCCATAAAATATTAAAAAGTGTCACTTGAACCCCTCTTTTTTACTTATAATTATTGTTTCTTAACACTTTGACAATTCAAAACCTTATAATCCTCAAAAATGTATAAGAAAAGTAAAAAGAAGTGGCAAAATAATGCAGTGCAGGATCTCACGAAAGAAAAATGGTGAAATACATGTTCTCGCAAAGATAAAATAATGGAAGCAAAATGTTATTTGAAAAAAAAAATATTGTTGGACAGAATCTCCTATTTTCAAAACACTATAGTAATTAAAAATTGCATTTACTGTTACATCTCATACAAACAAAGTTTTGTTCGTAAGTCAAGCCAGTGGTACTGCGAATTTTTCTGGAAAAAAATTGAACAACAAAAAAAAATTTATCTTATTTTCTACTTACGCATATAATATTCATAAAAATGTTTCAGTAAAAGCTTTAAATTTTGTTTATATTTCTAGCATTCGGTGAAAATATTTTTAAAATATATCAAATGTGTTAGAACTAAGATTTACGCGATGTCAAGTCTAGTAATTCGTCACACATTCAAGTTTAATTAATAACTATATATTTATGCGCCTTAAAAGTTCTTAAACACACTCTTAGGGAGGGAAAATTTATTCTTTAAGAAGCGTGACTCTTGTTTTGAATGTTGCAGTTTTAGATTAAGTCTCTACAAAAATACTTTCTCCTCCAGAATATTCCTCCTCCTCTTAACAAGTCCTTTATGTACGTACTTCGAGTCACAAATTGAATTGAGTCTATTATTAGAGTCAACGCAGCTTTTCGTAATAAATAAACGAATGAACTAATAAAGTGCAAAAGTTTGTAGAAGATTACTCAACTCTTAAAATTAATTATTGGAAGGCCAAGTATCCGAAGGACTGATTTTGGAAACTTTGCTATTATGAAATATTTCGTTTAAAAAGCTCTTCAACTGAGCGTTGTGAATGCTATTTAAAAAGTAATGATTTGAATTTCTCCGTTCCTAAATTATTTAAAGAGAGTAATGAACCTTGAAACAATATTGTTTCCTTATTTTCATCTTACAGCATATTAAATAATAACAATATTCAAAACCATTTTTAAATCTACGTCGTAAACATTAATTGCAATTTTTTAATTAAACGCATGCTTCCACACGTATAGCCTCGCTTTAAGAAGACAAATATGTGTCAGGCAATAATACATGTGCCAGTGCTTAACAACTATAACTTGCTTACATAAAACTTGCTTAACAATTTTTTTTGCATGAAAAACTGCGTAAAATACAACTTAAGCATGACAATTGAGAGGCACATTTATTAACTCGACAATTAGTTTAATGTTGGCTATTAAATTCCCTGTCAAAACAAAATGCTAAAATATATAATTACCAAAAATATAAATTCCAAAAATCCATTTACGAAAATTCTTCTACACTTTACGCATGCATATTTACAGTCATGAAAGAGTGTAAAAACAACTTATACTCGACTATTTATAAATACATCTTTTAATTTATCAATCAGTTCAGTGCTAGTGCTTTATGACTAATACTTGTAGTGGGAGGTCAAAAAACCCTATTGCGTGAAACTTTACCCGTACATTTGCTTGCATGAAAAACTACTCTAAAAAACTATTTATGCAGGACTATTTTGAAACATACTTATTAATTTGACGGTTAGTCACCATTAAATTCTTTTACACTTTACGCATGCATATTTACTTTCATGAAAGAGTGTAAAAAGAACTTATAGTCGACTATTCAGAAATACATCTTTTAATTTAACAATAAGTTCAGCACTATTGCTTCATGGTTAAAAATTGGAGAGGAAGGTTAAAAAACACTATTGTGTGAAACTTTATTCATTTATTTACTTGCATAAAAAATGGCTACAAAAAATTGTTTATGCACGGCTATTTAGAAACTTACTTATTCATTTAACAGTTATTTCAGTGCTAATGCTTAATGACAAAACCTATCGAGGAAACAAGAAGATTAAAAATCTTTTTACGCGCACTTTTGCGTGCAATATGGAGAAAAATAAACAATTCAAAATTATCTTAATAACTTTTAATGTAATGATCAGATCTTTCACGTACGGAGACTCATTCTTAACAGACACGCAGCTTATGATAATTAATTTGTGTAGCCGATATTTGAAGTTACGAAATCAGATACAAAAACGCACTCTTTCTGAAAAAAACGCACGCATTTTTTCGACGATTTAGATTTACTCATTAATGTAAATGGCTCTTTTCAAGGTCAACTGTTTGGTCACGTGGTGTAGGATTATCTCATTTTATAGCGTTACATGCACTGATAGAAATTTCACCAAATATTGGTCAAATATCAATTAATGTAATTGTTATTTCACCATATTCAAACAAAACCGTGAAATAAGCATGAATAAGATGGTACTCAAACTGTTAACTACGAAAAAAAAACATTTATGCTATACCATTACTAACCTTTAAAACCACTTCCGCCTAGTACAGTAAAACAACCAGAGTTTTGATAGGAAAAGAGTAGTAAATCTTACCTTGTAAAGGCGATGAGTACGATAAATGGCTGAAAATAGGTTCTTTGAAATTGTTTCATTTGTAAATGAGTTAAACTAGCATCATTGAATATAGAAATTTAATGATGCATTTCGACAAAACATTTTTACAAGCAGTGAGGAAGCAAAAAACTGCTCAATCAGTTGACGATACACAAAGAGAAATTAAAATCTGAAAAACAAAGTGTATTAAAATATAACATTAATATTCAGACCTTGAAAGCGTACAATGCGATGAGAGTCACATGACATGAAAGTTTCAGTTCTCAAAAACTACACTTCCTGGTTGTAAAATATAGCTTCAGATATAATTTTATCCAACAGGTTTTATAACACCAACTAGGCCCATCTAATGAAGCCACTTAGTTCCTTGCAGCTGGGTACATATTATAGCCAAGAGAAATGGTCTGTCCATCTCGTGACTGACTGAACGAGATTTCGAGTCCCAATGTTGACACCAAAATATTTTTGCATTCTCTTCAACACATGAAGAGTTTCCAGTGTCCTGTACTCCCCAATTTGTGACCATATACTTTGGTCTTTATTACCAGAATTTAATTTTTTTTTACCAGAAATGTCATTACTATGCAGTATGGTAATTTTACCAGAATTTTTCTCCCTGTAAAAATAAAGCTAGGTCGCGAGAATAAAGTTCAATTTTGTTGCTCTATTCAAGTTGTCTAGCTTCATCTTTGCAATTAGTTCTTCTTCTTCTTTAGAACGACAGCCTCTTACAGGCCTTGGCTGCCTCAACCACACGTAGCCTCCAACGCCTCATGTCCATGGCAACTTTTTTGCAATTAGTTATGCTCAATAAAAACATAACTGAATAAAGATATGCCATTTTCCTTTGTTTATTTTTCATCTTTGAAAAAAAAATTTTAATTTTTTAAAGTTATTTCAAACTTAAAAATTTGGAGAAAACTAGGTGAAGAAAAATATTAAAAGAGGTATTTTTTTCTTCGAACTAGTAAGCTCGATTATAAAGATAAAAAGAATATATCTCAGTGTGGTCTAAAAGTTTGTAATACAACTCAACACTTTTTCGATCATTTGTCAACTTAACAATAAATAAATAAATTATTCCTAATATGGGATCACAATGGAACAAACAAGTTTTACAATTGTGAGCAAAACATGCTTTGATTCATTTCATTAAAAGCAAATTGCAAAGTTGTAGAATATCATTGATCTCGTACAAATGAACACTTTGTGAACATTAATGGAAAGAAAAAACAAGCACTAAAAAGGATTTGTTTGTCTGAGTTTACAAAAAATTACAGATTTTAAAGTGTTACAAACAGTAAGGGAAATTTAAGCTTATAAAAATTAAGTAGATAAAATAAAAGTATCTTGTGATAACTAGCTTTCTTTTGTCTTCGTTTGTTTTGTCTCGTCACAAGGTAGAAAATTACAAGAATACAAATACGCAGTTAAACTGTTTTTTGGTCGCAAAGTTATCTCTTTGTGTTACGATTAATTCAATTATGCTTTTCAACTTCAAAACTCTATTTAATTCTTGTTTTGCTTATATGATACCATTTACGAGAAAAAAAAAGTTTACTCTGTAGTACTCAACCATGCGGCGCTGTAATTAATATGTTATCTTATAACGCTAGCCTTTTTACTGTACCAAGACGCACATTTTATGTGTATAGTTGAAGCCATTCGAATGTGAGAGAGAAATACAGACTTTAATAGACATCCTTTATAATGTAATTAAAAATATGCAATTATGAAGAGCCAAAATATATTAAACAGTTATTTTTTATTATTTCCAGGTAGTCTTCGTACTCATTATCAGCACACACTTAAGTCATTGTAATGAGCTTAAGAACCATCATCCTAATCATCGTCACAGCCTAATGACGATGAGTGACCTTGCGAATCACTGGGTTGGAATTCCAAAATCACCTTATGTACACTTTTCGTCTGCTATCACCCCAACCACACTCGTAGTTACTCCACCACCAACATCTTCACCAATAAGCATAAAGAAGATGTCTAGGCCGAGTTCCAAACCAAAAAAGGTAAAAAATGAAGAAAAAATACGACGCAGATCTGATAATAACAATACAAGAAAGAAAGACAAGCACTATTACGATGATTTTGATGACCAACCTGATTACGATTATGATTATGATAACTATGCACCACCCTATTCAAGAGTAACGCCACCACCATCACAGTATGTCATCAGAGGCTCAACGTCACCAAAGACCATGTATATGAATCCGTCAGAATCGTCACCATCTGTTAACAAAATTTTTGCAGCTGTACCAAAAGTAGCAACCTATGTTGTACCATCATCTAAGACATACGTGGTCCGACGAGTCAAATCAGAGGCTGTATACATACCTCCTTCTGATCAAGTTGCTTACGTGTCACCCAGTAAGGGAGGCGTGAGAAGACAGGATCCCTTAGATTATGATGATAATCCTTCTGGTGCGTCTTATTTAGGGCCTCGAAACAGTTTTCCACCAAGACCTGTCATGAATAAAATAACAGGTCCTGGGCAAAGACAACCATGTCATGGTCCAGAATGCCATCAGCACCACAAAGGATTGGTGAGGTTTTATTGGCGAAGAGTAATCTATCCTCCTGGTGCAGATGGTAGAAGAAGAAGACCATCTAGATTTCGAAATAGAAGACGATCCAGAGATCGTGCAAGATCCCCATCTGACCAAACGGAAACATTTACGTCTGACGAAGAGGATGACCAAGAAGAGTCAGAAGAAGACATTGATCAGGAAGAAGATCCTGATGAGAACAATGATGAAGAAGAAGCTGAAGACACTAGAAATTGGAGACAAGCATGGCGGCCTGGCAGAGCTTACGGGCATGATTTAGATGAGGGCAAGTATTATGAAAATGGCAAAAGGACATACAGAGACAAAAGGTTTGCTAATCGAGGAAGGAGTAGACCAAAGTTTGCTTACTAAAATATTAATATCCTCTTACTTCTCAAAACAAAACTGAGGTTTCATTAGAACATATGTTACATTAATATTTATTTGATTTCATCCTACTCAGAAGTGTGAGTTGAATCGAACAAATTCTGAAATAAATAACATCTATTATCTAAAGTGATTGAATATTAATTTAGTTTTCTCAGAGTGATTTTTTTCTTAAGAATTCTGCGAAAGATTCGGATTAACACGAAGAAAAAAATTATTAAAGATATACATTTAGTATACTTAAACCGTATGATACGATTACTAAGTACTAAGCGATCAGATATCTCAACTTATTTGGAACAGATCGAAATTATGCAAATAAAAAGTACAGTAAAAACAAGGTTTAACTTATAAAAAAAGTTTCATCCAGCGAAGAAATGTTATTCTCTTTTTAGTAAGTGTAAAAAATCGCACAATTTCTCGCGTCTAATTTCGGTTGAAAAAGGAATGGAAAAAAAATGGAGGGGAATCGACTTAAATATTACTATCAAGGCAAATGAGACACTTTTACCGATGAATTTTTAACACTAAATCAAATGACATCACGTTCGAGACGATGGAATTTTATAGTTAGTTGTATTATAGTTTAATGCACCGAAAATACTATCTTTGATTACTACTTATTTTGCATCTAACTTTGCTATCCAGAAAAATGAAGTATTGTTTCACAGACATTTTTTATGCTGAATGAAACCAAACATGAACTAATGGGGATAATAATTTAGAAAAATATTGGGGTTTTATACATAAAAACTACTAAAATGCTTTTTATCACTCAATAAGAGGAGGTTAGAGTATGCCACAAGGAAAAACTTTTTTCTGTAATTATTTTTTGACGACACGACCAGGTTTTGGCGATTCTAGATCTACACTTTAATATATTAAATTACGCGTTTTAAAATTACTCTATTACAGATCTTTTTACACAAATCATATGCAAATGAATAATATTTCTTACCTTAAGAATTATTTTAATCACAAAAAACAATCGTTTTCCTTCAAAATAAGATTGATTGATCCCAGGACTCCCAAAAGTTTTTCAAACAAAAAACAAAAAAACTTAAAACGTATATAAATATTTGGAATATTAAAAGTATGATTTAACAAACCTATAAATAATTCAATTTGTACAAATTGAACTTACATTCAAAGTTATTTAAAGTCCAAAATGTTTGCATTTTCTCAAAAAAATCTGAAAGTTTTGAAAAAATAAAACAAAATTATGAATTTTTTTTTTTAAATTTTTTGTTAGAAGTTCATGCTTTTGTTATATGTTTCAAGTATCAATTAGAAAAAATAGTTTTCAGGAAATTGTTAAGTTTAGAAATGCTTTCACCTAAAATTAGGAAATAATCTAATTAACAAAATACTAGAGAAAAACTTGTTACTTAATCTTAAATAGAAGAAAACAAGACTGTGTGCTTAAAAATTATTCGCTTGGGAAGCGAAACTTGCTTTTCTCTGTTACCTTGGTTACCACTACTACAGAACAGAAAAAACTCATTATNGAGTATGCCACAACGAAAAACTTTTTTCTGTAATTATTTTTTGACGACACGACCAGGTTTAGGCGATTGCAGAGCTACACTTTACCATATTAAATTACACGTTTTAAAATTACTCTATTCCAGATCTTTTTACACAAATCATATGCAAATGAATAATATTTCCTAATTTAAGAATTATTTTAATCACAAAAAACAATCGTTTTCCTTCAAAATAAGATTGATTAATCCCAGGACTCTCAAAAGTTCTTCAAACTAAGAATAAAAAAACTTGAAACTTATATCAAGATTTGGAATATTAAAAGTTTGATTTAACAAACATATAAATAATTAAATTTGTACAAATTGAACTTACATTCAAAGTTATTTTAAGTCCGAAATGTTTGCATTTTCTCAAAAAAATCTGAAAGTTTTGAAAAAATAAAACAAAATCATGATTTTTTTTTAAAAATTTTTTATTAGAAGTTCATGCTTTTGTTATATGTTTCAAGTATCAATTAGAAAAAAGTGTTTTCAGGAAATTGTTAAGTTTAGAAATGCTTTCACCTAAAATTAGGAAATAATCTAATTAACAAAATACTAGAGAAAAACTTGTTACTTAATCTTAAATAGAAGAAAACAAGACTGTGTGCTTAAAAATTATTCGCTTGGGAAGCGAAACTTGCTTTTCTCTGTTACCTTGGTTACCACTACTACAGAACAGAAAAAACTCATTATTTTATTTAATTAAACACTTTTATTAATTAGGATGGAACAGCTTTCGTGACACGTGTGGCAATAAAGTGACGTCTTATACTATATTAGCAAGTTAGGAATATAAGTAACTAACAAGTGCTTTTATAACTAGTTTATTATTAAAACTTTTATGTTTATCAAGAAAAAATATGAAGTTAAAACTATTGTAAAAATAATGTAGTTGCTATCTATTCATACGGAAAAAAAATATAGTATTAATTTTAAAGCATTTTAAAAAATACGTGAAAAGAAATTTAAAAAATAATTAAATTGTGAAACTCCCCACTAAATTCTGATTCCTCATCCAGTTCAATGGTAAGAAATTGACACAAATCATATTTTATACCTTTGACTAATTACGTAAATAATTTAATTTTTTAAATCAACGGCAATGTGAATTACAAACGAAAACAATTTTTTTTTATTTTCTGTTGTATGAGACTTTTTTTTAGCAAATCTTAGATACTTTTGTATCGTTGATTTCAAATATGCAATCGCTTTTTCCTTTTTCATTTTTGGTTTTTTTCTCCAAATATACAATTTAAAGACTTTATATGTAACAGGGGGTTGCATAAATGCTGCGACAAACTTCTAGAAGAGTTAAGGCACATCATCAGGATAGAACTGAATTAAAACTGTATGAAAACTCATGTCCGGAAATGTCGTTACACGCCGCTAGGGGTACTAACTGTTTCGTCGTCGGCTTTTGAACAGGTCACAAAAGGTAACCTTTATCAGCGTACGACGACATTTCTGGGCTTGCGTTTTTATGTAATTTAAATCCTGATGATTTGCCCTAACTCCCCTGGAAGTTTATCACAATATGCGGAGACGTTTTTGAACTTGAACATTTCGGCAAAAAGTAGACTAAAAATGTCATTTAAAAAAATCTGTAGCTTTAGTAGCAAAACTAATTTCATATTTAAAATCCCCACACCCAAAATTAGGCAAGATCAAGTATTTACATCAAAAGTAAATGAAGATCAAGTAAATGCAACAAAGAAATTGTTCCCCAGTGTTATTAATTCAGAATGTTTCAAAACCTATCGAGGTTTCTCACGAAAACTTTGATTAAATAATGTACAACTAAATACAAAGTAATAAAAATTAACGACAAGTATATGGTTTGAACTGAGTAGGGGCCAACTGGCCTTGGATCAGAAAGGTTCTGGGTTAGAATCCTGGCAAGGCATAGATGTTCCTTCATTCTCTGTACTATCTGTCCTTACTGTGGGACCAACGCTGACCCACCTAATATGGTGCCTCTGAAAAAGTGGCCAACAAATCTGCCCTTCAGATACCTGTTTGACGGAAGGTCACACGTTCATATTTTACAAAAACATTTCTAATTTAGGATAAACTTTAATAAGTTTTTGGTTACTCTTGCTACGTTTCAAAGAGCTATTAAATTAACCCTTTTTATCACAGTAATACATATTTTTAATTTTTTTAAAGCTGAAAAGAGGATACTCATTAATACTAAAAAAAATAAATATATACTTTGAAAAGGAATCGAAATACCTATATGAATTAGCTATATGTTTAACTATGTGTATGTAGGCATTGAAATTCAAAAATTTTTGGTATAAAAAAATTTTATTTTCCAGACCATTTGTCAAAAAAATAACAACGAAAGATTAAAAATTTTATTAGCTTAGTATTCTTTTCTTTTCTCTTTTTTGAACTAAAAATTTATATAAAATACGACAGATTGATTTGAAGAAAAAATGTCATCACTTTCCGTGATATTGCCGATTAGGCAATAGTTCAGTTTCAGAGAGTTATTAAATTAACCCTTTTTATCACAGTAATACATATTTTTATAATTTTTTTAAACTAAAAGAAAAAGATACTCACTAATATTAAAAAAATAAAAATATACTTTGAAAAGCAATCGAAATACCTATATGAATTAGCTATATGCATAACTATATGTATATAGGCATTGATTCAAACTATATGCATATAGGCATTGAAATTCATAAATTTTTGGTATAAAATTTTTTTTTTCCAGACCATTTATCAAAAAAAAATAACAAAGAAAAAAGAGAAATTTTATTAGCTTAGTTTTCTTTTCTTTTTTTTTTTTTTGAACTAAAAACTTATATAAAATACGATAGATTAATTTGAAGAAAAAAAGTCATCCACAATGTCTTACTTTCCGTGATATGCTCATAATAGGAGGTGACCTCAAATATGCTCATTACTTAGTGCAGGCGATATTTTAATTCACTAAATCAGACACAAGAACGTTCTTTTTCTGAATAAACATGCCTTTTTTTTCAACTGATTCGGATTTCTCACCCTTAAAATAAAGAGGGTAGCAGCATTTTAGGAAGTAGGATCCCCATAGTTTGGTCAGGAGCGAATTGAAAAATTTTTGCGAACAGTTATAAAATTTGTTTTTTCAAAGATGATTCCATGTAAAAAGTAAATTTTAGTAAATATCATTATATTTTTTGTAAATATTATTATTTTATTCAATAAGAGCGGAAAAAGTTTTTAATTGCAAGATACGCAAATTTTCCTGAGAAATCAAATTTTAAATATTCTACTTCCTTAAAATTCGATTTCTCAGGAATTCAACCGATTTCGTCAAAATTTTTTATTTTGCTATGTAAAATTAAATATTTTACATAGCATAAAAATTATATAAAAATTTTCGACGATTATTATATAAATTCAATTCAAAAGTTTTTTGACTATTATTATGTAAAATAATAAAAAGTAATAAATATTTACTAGAAATTGCTTTTTACATTGAATTATGTTTGGAAAAAGTATTTTTATAACTGTGTAAAAAAATTTTCGATTCGCTTAAAAAGTTCTCGAAATATTGCGAAATACGCA